TCAGCCCCCTGCCTTCACTAGCAGGACCAAGTACTGATTTTTGCCCCAGATCCCTAAGTGGCCCCCTCAAGGATTGAACTCACAACCCCAGGTTTAGCAGGCCAATGCTCAAACCACTGAGCTATCCCTCTTCCTTTCCCTGCCAAAGGGCACTTTCTGCACTCAAAGCCACAGATCCCAGGCATGCTTATGCAGTACTATTTCCCATCAGACAGAGGAAAACTGATACAAACATTCAAAATTCCAGTCAGAGCTTTTATAAAATCATTTAAAGCCTTTTGTTCTTGATGCAAAAATGCCAAGTTGTCCCTCCTACGTAGCTGGAATAGCAAAACATGCGTCTTATGAGCAAAATAAAATTGTTTGAGACTATGTAACAAACCTGCAGTGGGTGGTTACTCCCCTTCACCTTCCAACAAAAAATCTTTTTTTAAGGCAACAATAAAAGTTTGGTAAGAACAGATCATTCACTGAGTCATCGACACAGGCCCCTGGGGTGATGGGTGGCTGAGAATAACTGGAGCAGAGAGAACCCTAGCCGTGCCCTCTGACTTGCTCCCCTGTGCCCTATACTAGTGACGATACTAGAGCCCTCTTCCCATCTCTGAGCTATGAGGAGCAGCCTCGTATTCTGGCGTTCCCCCAGGGGCCAGCATCCGGCTGGAATGATGTAAAAGGAGCGGTGGAGAATCAGGCTCCTGATTCTAACAAATGTTTGTTTCTGCTTCCTAGCATAGCCCAGAGGTTAATAAAAGCAAGGACTTACAATGACAGGGCCCACGACGGAGGAAAGCAGCTTGAAATGCAATCTGTGGAAAAAGAAACCGGCTCGGACTTATCAATCTCAAAATCATTAGCTCATAGTTTAGGTCCCAAAATATCTAAAAACTTGAAACCCAGGTGGTAAGGGAGCCACATTGCTCTCTTCATTGCCCATCACTGCTGCTCAGGATCCTATTCTTTAATATTAACCCATTCGGGATAAAATACTTGGAAGACTTGATACCTGTCCAGGGATGCAGTGAATTGCACCTTTCCTTCAACCAGCTGGAGAGTGGCAGCCAAACTGAGTTCCTGCGAGGAGGAAATGAGTCACCAAATCAGCTGATCTGAGTGTCAGCACCTGAGCTCTGAGAACAGACCATCAGCTGCAGAATACAGCAGAGACATTTCCTCCCTGCTTGGGTTAAGCTACTCAGAGAAAGGAAACCAACAATGGTCCCTCTGTGAATTCACTGATACCACACCAACACTCAGGACTGTAAGCAAGGGGCAGAAAGGGAAAATCAAGTGGCCCAAGATCTTTCCCACAATCCAAGACACTCCCACAATCCCAGAGTAGCTGGAGAATTCTGCTAAATTGATCCGGGAGGGGATAGTTTAAAATGCTTTCACAGGACTTCAATGTCAACACCCTATTGAGCTGAACAGAGGCAGTTCGCTCCTCTCAGAACCGTTGGCCCAGGAGGCCCCCATGGATTCTGTCAGACCGTGCAGTCAGACGGCACTAGCGCTGCGTCAGTTCACAGTCCGCTCACGTTCGGAAGGTCTGTTCTGCAGCCGGGAAGGCTACACTCATCTATTTTAACAACACACAAGCTTGGGTTCTGCAGGACCTGATGGAGCCGCTAGAAAAGTGCTGCTTCAGCAAAGTACTGCGTCCCAGCTCAGTCCACCTACACACCACAGGCACAAAGTGCCAAGGACAAGGCCCCTCCTGAGCCAGACTCTGTCTAACCACATGGTTCAAATCTCAGCTCATGCAGCGTGATGGATTTTTTCCTGTGACTGTGTGTGAAGTTTAAGGCTGGAAAGCAATAACATTTCATTCACAAGGATGGGACAATGCTCTGGAAGCTGCACTGTGGTTATTCAATATGGCCTGGAATAGAGTGCATTCTTCAGAGGTTCTTTTTAACCAGAGCTGGGATCTACCGAAAACCATTGCTTAATGCTCAGCTTTCACAGTTCTTGGAGAGGATGCTGCTCCTCCAGCTGCAGAATCAAACTTGTCACAGACACAGAGCACCTTCTCATCTATATGAATGAATGACTTTGCTGTAAACCCAAACCCATCCGTCGGCCTCTGCATACAGAAAGCCAGTATCCATTGGGCAGCAGCTCCTCCATTTTTCACCCTTTGGGATTAAATCTGATCTTTCTATCTCAGTACTTACTGCTTTCAAAGCAATGAGGAGCACAGGTTTCTTGTTTCCCTTTTTATCCATTATCTGCAGGCTGAGAGTGAGATTCATGGCGCACAGGTTCACATCCAGACCGACCGTCAGAGGTGTGACCATTTTGGTAACGATGAACAGCGAAGAAGAGATTGGAGTGCAGGTTGGGCACTGTAAGAAAAGAGGAGACAGGGACTAGATTTAACCTGAAAAACGCACACAACGAGATTGACGTGGGCCCTCCCATGGACCTTGGAGAGGAAAGACAAGGAAACGAAGGTGACAGTAAGGGCATGACGAGGTATTCTGAGCCCCTGCAGTAGGTGGAGTAGATGCTGTGTAATCCCCAGAGACACAACAGCAAATGCAGATTTGGACTGTCCTGCTTGTGTGATCTCAGAAGTCCGGTCAACCCCAACACTTCACTGGGATGGAGATTCGCGTTATCTTACACTCTCTTCACCCCCTTTTTCTGTTGACAAACGCTGCCTCCTCTCCCAACTGGCTGTTCCTTTCCAACACATAAAGATGAGCCCATTTGCTTCGAGAGCCTGCAGCTTTCCATTTCAGCAGTCCCAGCCCAGGCTGCAGTAGGACAATACTCCCTTCTCTCGGGGGGGGAGGGGGCGGGAGACGGGGGGACGGACTGCTTTTTTCTCTCAGAGGGTGCAAGAGCATCAGTCCATGCAGCTGGGACAAAAAAAAACCAAACAAACCGCAGCCCCGGGAGCAAGAGCCAAGGCCCCAGGTGCCACGGCCCCTACGCAGTCAGGCCTGGAATGAACACTTCAGACATCAGCAAGGTCTGTCGTGCAGCGGGATAAGCAATGGGACATTTGGTCCGACAGAGACATGATCACTGTGTGACTGAGGGGGACTCACCTTGGAAACAATCAGTTCAGAGAGGATCAGCTCCAGGGAGAGAGTGTCAATAAACTGAAACAAAAATGAAGGAGACACACGGTGGATGAGATAAAGTCAGTCCCTGGACCAGCGTTTGTTGGTGAGACACAAGCTTTCAGGCTACACGGAGCACTTCTTCACGTCATGCTCTGCGTAAGCTCCATAGCTGGGCTCTCTCACCAACAGAAGTTGGTCCAATATAATATATCACCTCCCCCCCTTGTCTCTCTGATATGCTAGGACCAACACAGCTACCACAACACTGCATACAAAAATTAACAGTCAGCTGAAAATGCTGCACCTTCCCCAACAGTGTCTGTCTCATCCTCCTCCTCCTTCAGGGGGAAGGTCACTCCACCCACATGAAGCCACAGTGAATGGGTATTTTTGTTGTGTGTTTTTAAGAGGTGAAGTGTACAGGTGCTGCAGAGGGCACAACCCATGCTGGGGTGATAGACTTGTAGCTCCATGCCCCAGGGCTGCCTCTGAACATGGAGTACATGGTTACCCCAGCTCCAAAGAAAGTTTGAGTACCAGCTGTTTTGAACTTACAGGGAACCAGGGTAAATTTTAAATCAACCACAGCTCATGTACAGTTTGACCTCATCTCGTCAGACTTTGCAGGAACGTTCTCCTTTGCCATCACAGTAAGCGTGGCGAGTTTTGGAACCAACCTATTTTTCCAGCCAAAACTGCTGGGGTCTGAGCAGGTGAACATAGGATTTAGCTGATTAGGTCTCTGTCCTTGTTCCCACTAAGCTCTGTGTATTGCGCTGAGTTTCCAGGAATGAAACCCCACCTGGCAGGGTCAGTAAAGGTCTTCAGTGCTATTTGGCTCTTCTCCATTGGCTTTTTTTTTTTTTTTTTTTTTAATTCTAACCATATTCTGTAGGTTCTTCCTCCTAGCCCAGACCTTCTACAGCTTTTAATTAACTAAATCCAACCCGTTTCAGGTGAATGAAGAACAAACGGCTGCATCAGTAAGGATATAGCTTTGCACAGAGATCTCCAAACCCCGCGGAGGCAGTACCATACCTGATCAGGCTCCAGGCCTAGAAAGCTGGAGATTAGACTATTTCTGCATTTGCATAAAAAATGCATATTTAATGAACACGCACTGCCTTGTTTGCATATATTCAGCCTCTTGCCTGTACTCCCAACTTAATCCTCCCTGGTCTTCCCTTGAATTCCCCCCTTAATTTTCCCACTTGTACCTCCTCTCCCCGGCTGACCTCCCGTTCCCTCCCTTGGCTTTCCCCTTTGTCTAGGCCCTATGCCTCTGGTTCTCTCCAACTCCCCTTATACTCTACCCCCAAAAACCCTTCATTCAGAGATCCTTCTTCAAGCACGTCCTCGAACCAGCAGCGGCCACACCGATATAGCTAGAGTGACTGCAATGCCGCACCGCTCTACCCATTATACTGCCCAGCACTCAAGCCTGGTCTCTAAGGGTACGTCTACCTGCAGTGTGAAGCGAGTCTCCCAGCCCAGGCAGACAGACCTATGCTAGCAGGACATGTGCTAGTGTGCTAAAAAAGCGGCGCGGACATTGCAGCACCAACAGAGGCTTGGCCCAGCTACCCGAGCTCAGATCCGGGGGGATAGGCCTTAAGGCTGCAGGACAGTTGGATGCTGTGCTCTAACGCACCTCCTTCTCTATAGCTCCCCGTGCTGGGCCAGTGAAAACAGGAGATAAGCAGGTGCTTAGGAAAGGACTCCTAAAATCAGGAGCCTCCTGGGCTGATCCAGGAGGCTGAAGGGTTTGGTGGAGGACCCTGACTCCACAGTAACGCCCTGACGTTCAGTGAGGGCATCACTCACCGTTTGAGGGGTACAAGAGAAGGAATGAGGTTTCTTGAAGACTGTGTAGGAGAGGATAGAAGTGATGACATTCTCTCCTATGGCCTCAGATGTCTGATTCATTTCTGGCAATATCACAAAGTCCTCCGGGAGGGGTGGAATGGGGATCTTCTTCCCATTGTCAGCCAGGTATTCCGTCTGAAAGCAGAGATCAGAAAAGCCACTTAACACAACAAAAACCCCCTTAATTACGAGTTTAAAATAATTATTCTAACTGGCAAAGGCACAAAATGAGGGAGAAAGAAATTACTCATGCAGTACTGAGGGGAGGGATTCATGCCTCCTGTGCACATAACATGCTCCATAGCCTCAGTTCACGATCCTTCAGCATGGATATGAATAATTTCCAGCAATAAAAGTGATAGGTGAGGGCACCAAATCTGTGCAGAAAGGAGCAAAGCCCCTCAAAGTGTGGGCCCTTTGGGAGGTGGGCCCTTGGCATATGGAGCAGAACGAGAGGATCCACCCTCCACCCTGTGATCCAAAATCACTTGCCAGACACTTGATTCACCTTTGCTAGTAAGGGAGGTACAAATTCCACAACCCTGAGCCAGTGGAGGCCACTGCAGGAGGATGAGACACACACACACACACACCCCCCCGGGAGAACAAAATGTGTCACTGGGAGTTCAGCTGTAAACTGCAGTTCAGACTGTATGGGAGAGGGGATTGAAACTATGACCTTGGGATGGAAAAGCATGGGCCTCTACTGCCTGAACTACAAGACCCAGGTCAGACTCATACACCTCTATGTGGTCCAGGCAGGAGAGGGGGACGGAGAGCCACCATGCATAAGGGTGAATTACAGGAAAGATGGCCGGCGGCCATGCCGAGTGCTGGATGGTTGGTTAAACCACATCATCTGGCCTTGCAATCTACGAATCCATAAGGGACCATTGTGATCATCTGCATTGCACAGGCCAGATAATTTCACCTGCTGTTTCCTGCCTGGACACCCATAACTCTTGGTTGAGCTGCAGCATCTCTTAGAAAGACACCCAGCCTAATGTAAAGACGTCAAGTGACGAAGCATGTGCTACATCCCGTGGGAAACTGTTCCAGTGGTTAATTATCCTCGCTGTTAAAAAATGTGCTTTATTTCCTATCTGGAACATTTGAATTTGCCTATCTGGGTAACTGCGAGCCGTGAATCGATGAGGTTTATCTGCAAAGCAACCCTCTTGTTCTCGCGCTGCTGGGTTGCCGTGGATTTGGTGACGGATTCCGCTGTTCTGTTGAGGCGGGGGAAGGTTGTTTGGTTTTAAATAACTAGTCGCTGAAAGCCCTGGCTGGAAAAACTGACAGCTGGGCCAAGTAATCCTCCACTGTGCAGTTTTCCTCACACAACCAATGAAACTGTTCCATGCAAATTAGCTGCAGAGTGAGGGTGGTGATGGTCTGCGTGATCTCGGATGTCACCATGGTTCAGGTGACGGTCTCTAGGTGTGGCACAGATACATACATGCCTTTCTGTCACATGGGTGTAATTTGTAACGTCAAAATGGCTTAGAACTTAAAAATGGGATGGTTACAGACTGCAAAGCCCAGTGATGACTGAACCTGGTGATATTCTGAACAAAAAGCTCTCAGTGGTTTCCAGCGCTTTACACGGACTCAGACATTCTCAGGCTTCAGCGTGACATGCAGAGTGACAATGCTGGAATTGGTGTCAGGAAGCTACCAAGTCACTCAGCAGGTCCAAGGTTGTTCTTCGCTTTTTCTCCTGCTCAGTCTTCAGCCCTCGTCCCATCAGCTGACATCAGGAAAGAAAAACGTTGCTGACAAAGAAAGCCCGTTAGCATAATCCAGTGACAAGAACCTCGCAATGGGACAAGCCTGTGCTCCTGCCTCTGACGTTTCACTGAGTAATAAACGCCTCATTGAGCCGGATTCTGCTCTGCTGACTCACACTGAGTAGCACTTACTCACGTGAATTGCCCCATTGCTAGATATCATACAATTCATTCAGGAAAAATAGCAGGAAAGCATATGGCCCTGATCCTGCAGAGACTTATGCAGGCATTTAGCTGCACTGGGAGGAGTTAAGGAAGTGAATAAGTCTTTTCAGCATCAGGGCCTAGATGAGTAAGTGCTAAGTGACATGAATAAGGGCAGCAGAATGGATCCCTAAGTGAGACTGTGGCTATACTGACATGTTTTTCTGTCACTCATTTCTCTGACCAACATCACAGAAGGGAAGAAAGCTCTGACACCTTTCACAGTTTCAGGGCTGATCCAGAGGAAGAAAGTTGTGAAATCTCAGTCTCAGAAATGTTACCTAGCGTTTACACACTTACCTGTACAGGAATTTCAATGAACCGGTCATTTACTTTTGGAGTTTGAGCCACATACAGGAGCTTTCCCTTCTCAAATGGGAGTACAGCTGCAGGGAAAGGAAAAATGTTTACAACATGTACCAGAAACAGGGAGGAGAATCACTGCAGATGGAAGATGCACAACCTTGAGCTGGGATTTCAGCAAAATTCCAGATAAATTTAAAGATAGGAGATTGGTTCCAATCAATGGAACATCTTCTCCAATAAACTTGTCAGAATTAGATATAAATGACACTGACACGAGAACCCCCTCTTCCAAGAGAGAGTCACCTTGTCCTCATGCCCAGAACTGAGAGAACATGCATCACATAGTCATTTTCCAACACAGGTAAAGATGCGTTCCATGCCCAAAGAGCATTTGACTGAACTTAGACAAAGCAGAAAACCAGACAAACCAAGACACTGGTCAATGACTGAGGCAAGGGAGGCTGTGAGGATAATTTGGGGCAAAAAGCAGCATAAAAATACATGTTATCTTCGAGCCCCTACTTACTCTGCCGCAAGCTAGACCTAAGCTCAGCAGCAAGGTGCTTGGATTGTGTGCAGTTTAGTGAAAAGTCTAGGGCAGCTTGCGATAATTCTGTAAAAGCCTGTGTATTGTAAACTTAAATGTGAGGCTGAGAAGTCAAGTCAAAACAGCAAGCCCTGTGTCATTCATTACGTAGTTATTGAATTCAGTTTGTCTTCCCGCATATTCATGTTTTGATATGTTGCCGATTGTTGTCTTTATGTTTCTAAGTCAACCACGCACTGAGATGAACGGGGCTGTTCAAAGCTCTCAGAGATACTGTTTCAGGATGGCTGCAGACTCAGGCAGACGCCCTGGTATTGGTTACACTTGGTCACATGGTCAAGGTTCTCTCTACAAACACGAAGGATAGAAACCGAATTGTTTTCACTGAAGGCTGAAGATTCTGGAGTCTAGTTCTGCTGCAAGGGATGAATTCCAGATTCCCAGGATACACTGGGCCCTGATTACTATTTCAGTCAAACAGGAAAGGACTCAGTCTTGTGACAAAATGCTGCATCCCCCACCCATCCCTGAACAGAGCAGAGATACGGCCACTCCACCAGACAATGGGGGAAGGCTGTGCAGACTGCGCTCAGATCCGGTAATGCCTCTCCGAGACAACGTTAAGGACAGCGAGGGGCGAACTCCATATAGGCCCCTATTCGAGCTGACCTATACCCGATAGACCTTAAAAGCTGCAGCGGAGTGGCTGAGTAGTAAGACACTAAGAGTACGTGCACACTAGAGGTAAGTGTAAATTCCAGCACTATCTCGGATCACGTGAGCGTGTTAAGAACAGAAGCGTAGCTGCAGCAGTGGAAGCAGCAGAAGGAGCTGGCTGCCCCAAATACAAACCTGTCCAAGACCAGCGGTACATACACGGGGCAGCGAGCCCTTCTGCTGCTCGTGCTGCTATGGCTACACTTCTATTTTTAGCATGCTAGCTGGATGGGAGCTAGTGTGGGTGTCTCTCCTCCCGCTGGAATTTACATCTTCCAGCTCCAGTGCAGACATACCTTGAACCTTAGAGAGGGGAGGATCCTTTCCTGGCTGCCCCCCCCCAAAAAAAACACTTCTTATATTCCCTGACAAAAGCTCCTTTACCCTTACTTTCCACCGGGCTGGTGTGGTGTTTGGGAATAGGGTCAGTAAGTAACAGTCACGTGCGACTATTGGTGACATCACAGCAGAATGTTCGGAAGCTCTCTCAATCCATCACTAGCTTCCAACGCTTGGCAGCTGACCTCCCAGTGATGTGCCGCAGGCCATCTATCCATCTCCTCGCTGGCCATCCCCTACAGCCATGATCTGGTGCGATGGGCTGGTCACCCCACACTAGCCCGGGAAGCGCCCATGCGGCTCAGCAGGGTTAAGTAATCTGACAGGCCACACTTGAGGGAGGATCAGGCTGACAAACAATCCCTGATTGAGGCTGGGGCCCAGCTGAGCAGGAGCAGGTGGGGCTAGTATAAGGTCGAGCGCTGGGGGCAGAAAGGGGCTGCAGCCTGGAAGCCAGCAGTCACTGTCTGGGCTTACAGAGGGAAAGGCGGAGACCCAGGGGGAGAGCAGACGCCGGGGATCCTGTCCCTGAAGGAAGGGTTTACCCAGGTGGTGGTGGAGAGGAAGCCTGAAGGGGTGGAGTAGGAAAAGGCTCAGGGAAAGAGTGGCAAGGTTGGGGACGGTGCAGACTTTGGCAGCTGATTGGAGGGTCCCTGAGCTGGAACCCAGAGTAGTGGGCAGGCCTGGGTTCCCTGCCAGCCCCGGGGGAAGTGGCATTGCCTTGGATTGGACGACTGCCGGGAACGATACCCAGTCTGCCAGTCCAGGGAGACTGACACTCCAGAAGGAGGAAAACACAGCGACTGGCCAGAGGGCCCAGCCACAAAGAGGGAGCACGCTGCAGCTCCTGGAGCACGAGGGGGGCCGCAGTGTGAGCAAGAGACAGGCTGGGGTGTCAGACCGGGCAGAGCTATTCCTCAGATGCAGCCCAAGCAGTGAGCAGAGAACCCAGGACACCTGTGACCATTCCTTCCATGGCAGCTTTTCTCACGGTTATTTCCATCTCTGCGCTTGATGTGGCCAGTTTGTGCCTGTCACTTTCCGGCAAAAGGGTCTGCTTCTCTCCAGCAACATTTCTAACAGAAGCATGTTATCCAGGTCCAGGACACGCACAAAAGCCTTCACCAGCACTGCACCTCAAAGGCAGCAGTAGGACAGTATTCCTTTAAGAAGTCTGTAACTCTCTAGTTGTGCTCTGTGTTATAGGAACTGCCACGCAGAGCAGGAGTATATATACGCAGGTAGGCTTTGCATGCCGTGTATGTTCAGTAAACAGTGTTCTTTGGACCCTACTATGCCCAGGTGGTTCCCGCATATTACGTTTGTTGTGTAAAAACAAAAGAGACAACAGCTGGGGTCGTCCTACTCAAAGGCAGCAACGCCAGGAGCAGGTCTCTACACATGTAGAGCTTCTGGATGGGCTGACAAGAGCACTGAGCTTCCTGCGTTGAGCTTACTGGACACAGAAAGAGAACCCACAGGGAGACAGGCCGTGGCACTTACAGTTAATCTCACTCAGCATCTTTGAGTGCCCGAAGGAAATACAAGCGGAGAGTAGCGTCGGGGTCTGTAACACAAAGCAAGACACCCAGTCAGGGAGGAGGAAATGGCTGCGATGGTCCGGGTGACTTTCACTAACAGGAGCAGTTCTGTCCCTGAGATTTGTAAGGAGGTTAGTGACATCTTAGGATGGGATTGATTGATTGATTTTAAGGCAGCAAGTAGAGGTTGGAGCCACATGACATTGCCCAGCACCATTATCACTGGGGCCAGAGGTTCTGTTCCCCATTGGGCTCTGCTCTGCGCTCAAGGCATGGAGAGAAAATCCCCCCGGGAGCTTATAGCCTCAGTGTTAACAAAGACATTGGGTCAGACGCCTTCCCACCCTTTGCCCAGGGAGGGAAATAACTGGCGACAGGAAGGTCTTTGCCATCTCACACCAAGGGCTGGTGTGACAGCTGCCATCCTGGGCCGCGGTGGGGATTCAAAGCAGGAGTCTCTACAGCATGAGCTACAGAGCCTGGTTTCGTACCCGGGGGTGTGATGGCCTCACCCCCTCTACACATCTTCCCGTGTGCCCGATCTGTAACACACCAACCAGCGGGCGACGCTAGAGTGAACCTCTAAGGCCGGAGTAAGAGGAAGCAGCATCATAAAACCTTCTCTGCTCCGGAGGCAGGAGTAACCCACTGCAGTCCTGCCAAAGGTGGCGGTGCAGCTCACTTCTCACTTTACACGGGCCAGCGAATGGGGTGGAGGTCAGAGCTAATGCTCTGCCCCCACCAGGTGGTGGATCGGGGAGGTAGGAGAGGAGTCCGACAAAGCCTCTCCCCTCCCTTGCCATGCCTGAACTAGGCATCCAGAGGTGCTGGGGGGTAGGGGGGGGCGTGCTTTACATCACCCTTACTCCTCCACACACCAGCAACTGGCAGGGTTGGGTAGCAGACTTACCTTGACTTGTAACGCCAGTAGAATGTTGTTCCCTAGGCTGGCTGTCACACTCCCACGGATATCGCTGCATGCAAAATTACAGAGAGTAAACCAACAAAACCCCAAACCAGCATCACGAGAGAAATGAGAGAGGCACGATCAGCATGGAATAGTCCAAAGCACATTTCACATTTTTAAATGGTACCTAAAGGGACCCCTCCCTCAGGATAGAGAAGGTTGGCGTGCTATGAGTTCGGGGCATTTTCTGTAGACAGAGACCAAATAAACCGAACAGCTCTAATTTCACTGCTGTCCCCTGGCCAGCTGAGTTTTGTGAATTAAAGCTTAGTCCATCAGGATCGTATTCTGCGGCCATTCCCCTGCATGCCGGGATCCTGGTTCTGCAGAGTCGATTATTTATCGTGTTTTATGGGAGTGTCTAGAGGCTAACTGAGAGCAGGCCCCTTTGTGCTAGGCTCTGCACAAGCACAGAACAAGAGACAGTCCCCATTCCAAAGAGCTCACACTAATCTAAATCGATGGCACCACAATATACTGGATCACGTGGGAATCTACTTCTCTGGCTACTTGAACTCAACGGAATTCAGCCATTCTGCGGATAAAGACGGATGTAAGACCTAAAGATGCTAGGTAGGAAATGGAAACGTATTCAGTGAAGAGTGACAGGGTGATATTGACAGACGCAGCACAGAACACCGGCACTCACAGCAAGTTGATACTGATGTCCTTGAGAACCACGGCACATTGACAATCCTTGACGGCAACGCTGGTGGTAAGCGGCAAATACTTAGGCAGCAGAACGAGCGCACTACAGTCTACACGCACGTTGATAGTGGTCAGGCCAGATAAGAGGATAGACCAGCTGCAGAGACAAATACACATTAAACAGACAGACAGTCGCACACAGTACGGCAACCCTGTGATCTGCTCTGTGTAAATGGAGGCTTGTTTCCAAATACAGGGTGTGTACATTGAGCAAAACCAGTTTCCTTCCATCCCTGCCAGCACTACAGCTCTTCCCACCAGTCAATTCACTCACTGGCCACCCCTCAAGGGCTCCTCGGATTGCATTCTGTGCAGTAATAACCCAGGGCCAGATTCTGACACCCTGACTCGCAGTGCATATTACACCTCACCTCTGTGAGTACCCCCCGATAGCAGTGGGAATAGTCCATGTGAGCAAGGATGGCAGAATCTGGTCCTAAAGAGAGCAATGAAAGGGGCCAGTGTTACATGTGTAGATTTGCTTTGCAGTGAGGAAGGGTTGTAAACACTTTGATCCCCTCGAGAGAAGTCCACCCTGGTTTTCCTTTAGACGACGTAGGGGACGTTATTTATAGACTCCAGGCAGTGGCATTGTTCAGTTAGTGCATTCTCACCGCTGGAGCCGTGGGCTCAAATCCATGTTTAGAGGAAGTCACAAGTGATCAGTGGAGAAATTAGAGACAAATGACATAGGCTATTTAGTTCATCATCTGAGATCACGGCAGGATTGTTCCCAGCAGCGGATTCACCAGTGCTTTCAGGGATCCAGTTTTAAATGACTCATGAAATGGGGCCTCCACTCCACGGGAGCCTATCCCCAAATCTTACAAATCTGGTCTAGCCAGTCCAGAGGGAGAAGGAGAAAGACAACCATATGAGAAAGCCATCTAGCAGCAAGCCAAAGGGAGCGAGAGAGACACAGGAAACGGGGAGAAACTGGCAGCCAAGGGAGCGAGAGACACAGGAAATGGGAGAAGCTGGTCAGCTCTGCAGATCAGAGACCTGCTTTAAATTGACTCCTGTCATTGAGAGATTCTGAAACGTTAAAAAAAAAAAAGTATGTATATTACCAGGCAAAAAATCTGAATCTGAAGCTAAAGTTGAGAGCAGGGAGTGGGAGTCCCTACAGAAGCAAGAAGGAAGTGAATGTGGTAGGTTTTTTAAACACAAACATGAGAAAGCTGGATATTCAAAGTTAAATTCCCACTTTAAAAAACCAAATGAACATTCTGAAGTATGGAAACGTATTTTTGCCCCCACAGCCAGAGCACAGAAGCTTGGATCCAATGCTAAAGGCAAACGCTGAGCAGGGGCATTTCAGTGGTGACTCCCCAAAGTAAGAACGCCGTTTACTAGACTGCCCTACTCTTACCTTTATAGTAATTACAGACTGCTCTCCCACTAAAGGAAAAAGCTACACTTGTCTAAATCACAAACTCAGGTGATTCCTGGCTTCTTTAGGACCATCTGGTCAATGGAAATATGGATTTGGCCACTTTGTGCATGAACAAAAGGCATCCTGGGAACATCTCCTCTCAATGATCACCAAAGGGACCCGGGCTTCCAATACAAATGTGGTTAGACACCAAGTACTGAATCAACAGTGCACATTTCCAAGGCCCAGGACCTGCATGTTAAGAGGTTAGTGTAGTGATGAAAGGAAGAAACAGGTCTGAAGCCAATGCTTTAAAATACACAGGTGCTGCCTCTCACGTGTGAACTGCATGAATCCTTTCAAATACCGAAAATTCCTGCAGCCTTCCAAAATTTCATTCCAGACCCACTTCTGTTTAATCCTGTCTTACATACTTGTATGCTGGCTAAAAGATGGGAGGCTGGACAGAGCATAGAGGAAGAGAGAAGGTTATCAGGTGACTGTGGTATCCTTCTGACGAGTGGCCTGTTCTCAGCTGAGTCCTAGTACAAAGACTATAATTCCCAGTAGCCACTGATGCTGCAGTATCCAAGATAAAGTGACCAGAAGTACCATACGTCATGAGACCTCCCCTACCCTATTAGTGCCCTGCAGAGCCACTAAATGGGCAGGGCACAGAGGGTGAGGGGGGCTGGCTCAAAGCCATTTGGTATTAGAGAGTCTAGTATCTTCAATTAATTGTTTTTGCTTTGTCGGTTCTCTGAGCCTTGTGGGCTACAGGGTCTGAGTCTCAACAAGTTTGCATCATGGAGAGGGATCCCAGGTGCAGAATTTTAATTTTTGCAAAGTTTTCTGAAGAAGCAACATGATGTTTCCTGCCCCCTCCCCGATCCACCCAGACAGCTTCCCTCATTCAATTCCCTTCTACTGTGGAAACAAACTAAAAACAAGTCTAGCTCCACTCACCAAGTGCCCAGGATTTTGAGGTTAGCAGAAAATTTCACCTTGACCCCAACTCCAGGAACGTAATTGGATTTCACTGGGAGCACAATGGCTTTAGCAACATGCAACCTGCAAAATGAAACCAGAGGAGGTCAGAAAGGAAACCAGGCTCAGATGTTCAGGGAGGCTGCTTCAAGGCCCCGCTCATAAATATTATCTGCTGACCTGACCAAGAACACTCCATAACACAGTGACTAGGGCTAAAAGTTATAAAGGAGTCGTCTTTCTCCTCCTCTTCCCTCCCACCCCCAGCTCTAGTCTGGTCTAAGAGTGGGGCCTCCACACTACCAGGATACAGATACAGAATATTAATAGTGCAGAAACCTTTATTCTATTTTTCGTTACTCACCCATTGATAGCAATTAAGGTAATTGTTGATCCTGGGAATTTGAGTCTCTCCATTTCATGCCGGAAGAGGCCAGTTACTGACTCTTCACAAGCTGAAAAGAAAAACGTTCCACGAGACCTACTGTTTCGGACACTGAGCTCAAATTGGATACAAGAGAGGGTGCTTTAAGTCATCACTTTCTCTAGTCGAATAGGCCAAATAGTCAGAGGAATCTTAGCCCAGCCTCTGATCTTGTGCTGTCAGTCAATTGTGGCTGCAGACTACAGAATTCAGCTGTCTAATGAACTGATTTATGGGTGCAGCAAAGGAAGCACAATTTCTGTCACCTGCACCTGTCCTTTTGCTCACATATGTGACTGCAGGTGTAAAAGTGTAGGTACAATATTACAGGTTTTTTAATACTTGATCCTGGCATGATCACTCGTTCAGAATTCTCACTACTCTCTTGACTTCGCAAAAAGTGTCAGATTCCAGTGCAGTGCACTCTGCTGAAAACTGACACAAGATTAGTTTATTGGGCCTACTGCGTTATTCTGTTTCAGTCCACTGAAATCAATGGAGACATACAGCAGGGTAAAGCTGGAGTAATAACGCAGTGGTGCAGCATCAGGCCCATATCTGTGTTTA